AAAGTGCTCCACTCAGCTCCAGGAGGTTAATGAAGGCCTTCTGAAGTGAATCAATGTGTTTGTGTAAGAAAAATATCCTTCAAGATCGAATGGAGACATCGTTTCTCTTCTTGCTGTCCAGGAGAAACACTTAAGGTATTGACAAGGAATATTTCACCCAAAAATGATTTATTCAACTTCAACTTCAAGCCATCCTAGGTGTAAATGACTTTCTTCTTTCAGACAAATACAATCGGGGTTATATTTAAAAAATATTCTGGCTCTTCCAAGCTTTATAATGGCAGTGAATGGGGGTTGAGATTTTGAAGGCCAAAAAAGTGCCTTCATAAAAAAGTGCTCCACTCAGCTCCAGGAGGTTAATGAAGGCCTTCTGAAGTGAATCAATGTGTTTGTGTAAGAAAAATATCCATATGTACAACTTTATAAACTATAATCTGTAGCTTTCGCTAACTGTTATACACACACGTTCACAATAGAGTGGCGTTCCAGTGGATGACGTATATGGATGCACTTTATTTTGCTTCAAAATCTCAACAGCCATTCACTGCCATTATAAAGCTTGGAAGAGCCAAGTTCTATATTTTTCAACTCCAATTGTATTCGTCTGAAAGAAGAAAGTCACATACACCTAGGATGGCTTGAGGGTGAATAAACCATGGAGTAAATTTCATTTTTGTGTGAACTATTCCTTTAAAATCTAATTTGTGATTTTTCGTTGTTCTTATGTGGAGAGAGAAAGTGAATGTGTGAGGGTGAGTCTTCAAGCATATGTTCCTCAATGGTACACTGCCAGAAAAACGGCTCCCTGACCACTTGGTCTGGCAAGCGGCCCTGAGGTCCGGAATCTGATGACTACGCTCGACTAGACCTCACTGGTTTCTCTACAGTTCTGCAGATTCCACTCGTTCAACATCAATATTAACCATTATTTCCAGCTCTCATTCACACAAACAATCTTCACAGAATCATAATTTGATCTTCACTTTTTATTAGCTATAGAAATTTAGATCCAAATCAAGTCCAACGGGCTAATCTAATAGCCACTTTATTAGACTCAAGTTTCTCAACTTTAACGCATCTCACAGGGTTTACCGTACAAAGAGGCTAATATAGATTAAAACCAGACCAGAGTAAAAGGAAATAATTGTGTTAAAGCAGGTTTCACCAGTGAAACACCTTAGATCTTTAGTTTGGAAAAACTCTGAAAAAGTACAACTTCTTTGGTATGTTTACATATGCAGTTTTAATGGAGCTACATTGTTTTTGTGCTTGGTCGAGCTACAGTCTTCACGTCTGTCCAAGTATACATGACAAAATGAGTAATTGAATATTTGAAGCATCACCATGAGCAAAAACAGTGAGGCCAGCTGTAGTCTGATTTAACGTGTAAACCTGTTGGACAACACCAAGTTGCAATCCCATTGTTTGCCTGACTTCACAAAAAAAGACTAATGCAATTTAAGTCAAACTATACTAGCAGGAATAGATCTATTCCCTAGGAATAGATCTGCTCTATTGGTTAAAGTCACAAGAGGTCAGGGAAATTAACACGCTCTCCAATGATCCAAAGCGCTGGCCCAGCACGACCTTCTCATTCCCTCAACTGTGGGAATGTGGTTTTCTATTGAAGCACGCCAACCTCCTCAGCCTTCCTCCATCTCCTCCACCTCATCTCCCGCCGCTGAATAAACTCATCTTGAATAAATTCATTTTCACTTTGACTGCACTATGAGGAGGCCGGACAGTGGCAAGAAGTCAATCCAGAACACAGCATCCGGCACCCAGTGGATCTAAAGTAGCTTTTCTCAGTGTGTTGGTGGTCCTGGTTAGTCATGATGAGATTTTATTTTCCTGAATAAGCAGATTTTGTTAGCTTTCCCACATAAAGACCAGGTCAAACCAGGTCCAAGATCCAGAGCTCTTTAATTTGGTAAATAAGTCTTGGCATTCAAGATGAGAAAGATTTTTTTATTATGTGGTATAACTATAGAGTCATCACATTAAAACTTTTTTTTTTAATGTTTTCAAATGCACATGAAACCAACATGAATAAAAAATATATTTCTAAGAACTGTTTTCCTTTTTTTTTTTAACCATGGACAATCTTTTACATCACCGACCCAATTGTTGACTGCCTCTTGGTATCTTTTATTATGAAACTATATACAACAAAAGGACCATGCACAAGCTGACAGTGCAAGGCCTTTAGTTTGAAAATTGTGTACACCAAGACAACATGCCTCCACTACCCCTACGCACTAACCTAGACCCTATCATTATACTGAACGCCTTACATAGCAGATGACTTGGTGACTGTTGGCTGTCAATAAGCCTCTCCATTCAGCTAACCTCCTCATGCTCAAATAACATCACAAAATTGCTACAAAATCTAGCAAGTTTCTGTCAAGATTCCAGACACCAACTGAATAGTCACTTATTTAAAGGGGTCATATGACGTTGCTAAAAGAACATTATTTGGTGTAATGCAATGTGTTTATGCTGTTTAAGTTTTAAAAAACATTATTTTCTCCTCTATGTCCCTCCTTTCTGAAATGCGTCGATTTTTACAAAGCTCATCGATCTGAAAAGCGAGGTGTTCTCTGATTGGCCAGCTATCCAGTGTGTTGTGATTGGCCAAATACCTCAAGCTTGTGACGGAAATGTTACGCCCCTTACCATACTGTTATGCCTTGTCCCGGCCGGAACGACAAGATAAAAACATTAAAACCCATTATAAACGAGGCATCTGTTGCATCCAGTGGGGACATAATTACTGATTGTAATGACTTATACTGTCTTTTTACGCGTTGCGTTTCGTATCGCGCTGCGTAAACATAAAACCATGTCTGCATTTGTGATCGGAGAAACGACAAACAAGCGCTACTCTACACTGCTCAAAACTCGCATTTGAATCGTCAGTGGCAAATTCTTTAAATATGAAAACATACTTACAGGCTTGAGTCAGAAGCGACAGACTGTCCTTGCAAAGTTGGAATTGCCCCACTTTATAGAAATAGACACCGGCATTGTAGGCTGCTCTCCTAAGAAACAGTCCTCGTCCTCCATAAAATGCGTTGCACACATCTGAATATTTGGGTTGAATTGTTCTGGAACAGTGTTGTAAATACAACTTAACCACTAATTTCTAGTTGTGTCCTCTTTTGGAAGGCCAAACAAAGTAGTTTCACTTTCATAACGAAACACACAGTGTCTCCACAACATGGCGGCGGCGGCAGCAAAAATACTTCAACGAGAATCAAAGTTACGCCTTCTTTCTTTGCGTGAACATTTGGGCACCGTTATGCAAATCTTCTCACATCGGGACGTAGACATGTGAGGGCGTGTTAGAACAAGCCGTTTTAGGTAGGCGTGGCTGACTCTTTTATACATTTTATAAAGAATATCTCTTTGGATTTGAGACTTTAGTCTTTGCAATTTTACAGATCTTCTTTATGCACCAAGAGCTTGTAACACTCCAAAGAGAAAGGAAAAATTGAAATCGCATCATACGACCCCTTTAAGAAAGACAAGTACGGTTTTGGTGAGAATTCAGACTTTGTTTGAGAAAGGTAATCAACATCCCGTTTATCTCGGTTGTGAGCCAGGGATCTTAAGGAACCCCATAAATGTAGCGACAACTGCACCACAGGATTCATGCACGGTCTTTAAACTAGGGTTGAAGGGAGTGTTTTCGAGAAAAATGTGCTAACAAAGATTGGGGACTATAACTTTCACATGATAATTTAGCACGATTTGCCATAGGAATGCAACTAATGCTTCCAGAGATCACACCATGGATATTTGCAGTTAAATTATTGCAGTGTATTCCATTTCCAACCAAAACTGGGGTCATGTGTGTATTTAGGCATGGAAAAATTGAAATGTGTGAACATAAAATGCATAAGTCTCATGGTTAAGACATCATAATACAGAGTCATCTCACTACAAAACTATGCTGGAAAAACACCTCGAGATGTATCCAGGGGTTTAACTGGGTGAGATGATCTAGAAAGGTTATATTTCATATTTTACAATAAATAAAAAATAAATAGTATTGCCAGTTTGTTTGCCAATCCATTCCATTTCCTGTTTGTTTTTATTATTTATTTAAAATTAAATTTTAATTAAAAAAAATATTTTATCACTTTTTATTTTATTATTATTATTTTATAAAAAAAATTTATCCAGCAAGCTGAATATTATTCAGGCTAATAATTATTTCTATTGCCAATATTAAAATGCTATAATATTATTTTGTCTACATAAACTACAAAAAGACACTAAAACATGACATTTAAAATGCTAATTCAGAAATCACAATATAATATACAATTAATTTTGTTACAATTTTTTATTTTTTTTTAATTAACATTAATTTAAATGTAGATGATGGCTCTAAGAGAAAGAGGACAAAGAAAGAATCTAAACGGAAAAATATTTCATTTAATTTCTCTTCTTATTTATTTATTAATTTGCTTGTGTGTTTTGTGTCTATTTTAGGGTTCTCCACCCCCCCAAAAGCCCATTTAATCCCTGGTCGTATAATGCTTTATTTACATTATTTAGTTATAGTTTATTTGATAGTTTATTTACAGCCACTAGTTACATTTCTTGGCAAATGTCTACTTTACAGTCACAAAAGACAGTGACTAAGAGACAAAAACAAGACAATCACAGGCCACAAGGGACAGTAACTCGAGCAGGAAAAAATACTCCAGGAGCTTCAACAAGGCCTGATTATGTCTGCAGTGTATTAAAATCCCCTGTGAATACAGCCAGGTGATTGGAGGATGACGAACCCGGCTAATGCTGAGTGATGTGGATGAAGGTAAGATGCTGTGCATGGTGTCTAGAGGATCAAATGTGCACACACACTCATGCAAATGTACTTTCACGTACACACTCAGTCAGTGGGATTTAGACTGGAGTCCTCCCTCCCTCCTTCTCTACTCTAATCGCAGTGTTGTGGGTTTCTCGCTGTGGCTCTGTGGTTGTTTTCTCCTCCCTCTCAGGAAACTCTGTCTCTCTCTCTTTGCTGTGCATATAAGTAAGCAGTGGGAAGGCTTTTCAGCAGACAGAGAAAAACTATGCTAGAGTACTGTAGATGCAGAGAGGTGTGTGTAGTGTATCGTCAGCCGTATGAGACTGAGGCAGCGGCGTGGGTTCTACAGGTGAGTGACCTCTAATTACTGTGACTCAATATTTTATATATACACACACTTCACATGACCCTGTTGACATCAGCAAACTCTGAAACAAAGTACATGACAAAAGTAGGCACATTCCAACTTCTTATAGCATTTCTAAAATTGTTGTCTGTGTTGTTCTGAGTTAAGCATACTCTGTAATTCAGTGTATCCAGACGTCAGTGAAGGTTTTGAATGATGGTAGACACAGAGTTAACTTAAGCAATATGATTTTTTGGCTAGTAACAAACATTAACTATGACTTTTGCCTCAAACTCCTAATTTGCTGCTTATTAATAGTAAGGTAGTTGATAAGTTTAGGTATTGGGTAGGAATAGGGATGTAGAACATGGTCATGCAGAATATGTGCTCTATAAGTGCTAATAATCAGCCAATATGTTACAAATAGGCATGCTAATAAGCAACTAGTTAATAGTGAGAAGTGGTCCCTATACAGTACTAAAGTGTTACAGATTTTTTTTTTAATCTTGTGTCTTGGAAACATAAAGCTAACAAAAACCAATGTTTGCTCTCTTTCGATAGTAGAGGCAAAGATGTTTACATGGGGTTTCGAAGACCTTTAAATATGGATGCACAATACTTGAGTACCAAATGCATTGTTAGCCGAGGTTTTTAAATTTATCGGTATTGATATTGAATTTTTAATCATGCTCATTTTCTCTGCTTTTACATTTGTCATAATTTAATGCTTACGTAATGTAAATATCTCAAAACACTACATTTAAAAGCACTGTAAAACGCAATCTTTACAAATCTCAAAATGTAAATTTTTTATACTGTACATTATTCCTAAATTGAAAACAGTATAAATCGTACATTTTAATATAGTACAAACACATTTAATACAAAATAAATGAAGGAATTTGTAAAGTTAGTTAGATGTAATACAATTTTTAAAATACAATTAGAATAGAGCCGTATAGAGTTGTTATCGGTTATCTGTCAAAATGTGAAAATAATTATCAGCCAGAATTTTTATATTAATGCATAATATATCACTCATAGTGTAAAGGGGATTTTCAACAGTGTTGTGACTATTTTGAATGGGAAAGTTGTAGGGTAAGACCTTTCCGCAAAGAAAATCAAATGAAAGAAAACCTAATTAGCTCATTCCAAATATATGTGTTCCTCAAAGGGTTTAATTTAAAGTTTACTGTCAGGAAATGTGCCGTGGCACCACTGAGGTCTTTGAACAGTGGCTCTGTAAATATTTTGAAGTGAGTTAATCAGAGGGAAGGGTTTACAGATGAGATTACGCACTTCCGGATAAAGAGCTTCCCTTGGGTGACGGCCAGTGATGCTGGAGAAACTGACAGCCTCTAACGTCAACGTTTCCCAGGAGCCCATGATCACCGTGAAGACCACTTGTGGTATATGGTAAAAACGCAGTGTCATTATACCATTTCATTGTCAGCAGTACTCAAAGGCAGCTTTAGAAGATGCTTATTGTGTCAGCAGAGCCCAAAATACGATTCTTTGATCCTCAAGAGATCACTTATTATCCTGACTACCTAAGAGAAAACAATCCACCTCAAACCAAAACACACTTTCAGATTAACCCGACGTAGATCTCTGTTTGGGTTCCACTGTGATTAAGATAATCTTTTTAAGGTTTTGTTTACCATTCGAGCATTAAACGCAGCAATAAATAACCAAATTAGACCTCTTATCTGTGATCTTGGTGTGTGATCTTTGGATTCAAATAACTTTGAGGAAAGATCAAATGGAAAATATCCGTAATGACAATGAAAGCTACGGATGTCAAAGAATGTCATCTTGTTTCATTTGAGGCAAACAAATGATTAAATGGGAACACTTGCCTCATGTCATCCTTAGAGACACAGATATAAAACCACACATCTTTTGAGGCGCCCTGAGGTTCCTTTATGGCAATTCAAGAAACCTCTCTGTCTCCTGTTGTAAATCTGGCTCAGTCATATTTATGTTTCCAATTTGGATCAAATTCACATTTGGATGGGGCTGAATGAAGTCGCATCGAAATCCAAGCATCAGGTCGACTCCATGCCTTTTGTGGTTTCTCTGAAAAGGTTTCTGTAAAAGCTACTCTCACTGAGCCACATGTATCTTAATTATTGCCAGAGAGGGCTGAGAGTTTGAGGAAGCTCAAAGATAAATAAATCTATCTGAAATACAGTTACAATCACTTCAATTCTCCGAGTGTTTTCATTGACGGCTAACCCTAAAGCTTCTTGGAAAGTTTTATTCATTCCCCAACTTGAATTCCCTCGCATACTTAGGCATAGTCACATGTGGGATCCTTCCTCTTCTACATATTTAACAACCTTTGTCACAAGCCACGGTATTATAAATAAAGCCTTTTATACATTATCAGTGTGTGAAGGTATTCCATGCACAAATGCCATGAAGATCATTTGTGAAGCTCGATGCAAAGCAGAGGTCTTATTATTCAGGAAGTGGTTTAATTCTTCCCCCTCATGGCACGGGCCCGGTGCCAGTCCTAGGGGAAAAAGGAGCTACGGCGCTCTCAGCCAGGCTCTTTCCACTCAATAACACAACCACCACGGGGCTCCACAATTTGCCTTCATTCGCAACATTCCACGCCATACCTCATTTTTCAACCTCTGATTTAGCACATGACTGGCATTAATAACCTCCCAATACATGTGTTACTGCCATGCTTACTAGTGATTGGTTCCATGCCTTATTCTGAGAGAAACTGAGACTCTTGATTATCTGGTACTAAAGAACATCCTGTAACATTTTTAACGAACTTGGAGGCTATTACTAAAACCACAATTTTCAATTTTTTTCCAATTCACAATGAAATAATGAAAGTCAGATGAGAGGTTTAGTATACTGTGCTATGCATACAGTAATCCTAAAAGTTTTTGGAAACTTGAGAGTATCTGACTTTATAAATCTGCTAAAATTCACCTTAACACCAGTGTTAGTTGTGAGAAAAGCTAAGAGTATTTGTTTGCAGATGCCAGTTGGTTATATCTAATGCAATGAAATTCATACCCTTTATCTTTATCTTGTCTTTTTAATGCTCTAGCATGCAGATAGGGCATCTGGCGAGGGCAGCTATGATTATGGCTATGTGGGTGCCACACTGGTGAGAGTATGTGGCTGGATTTGGCCACTACCCTTGTGGTTAACTGCTGGTTTGACTGATGACTGCAACCCCAAAGTAACGTTTGACTCATAATCAAACCAAGCTGAAGCACAAAATGTTATGTTTATGCTTGATCTTTCCCTACTTTGCACAGCTAACTTGGCTTAAGACTTTGGACAAATGGCTTCACATCCATCTTAAAGATGAACACCAAAGCCATTTTAGACATTATCTACTGTGCCAGTACCAAAAATGCTTGTATTTCTTGACTGTCTATACTGTATATGTTCATTTAGTTGCAAAGTTTTGCAAGCTAATTTTACTTTACAATCAGTCGTAATTGCTTTTATATCTAAGAATAGATATTCAATGTTTGCACCAATGAACTTAATATAAACTTAAAATTAGCACGAACATGCATTTAAGACAGCATTTCAATTCAGTGCATGTTATTCTTAAGAAACATCATTTGTCCTCATAAGATTTCCTTAATTAAATAACTCCATTTCGGAAATGACTTTCATCTTGGTTGCACAGTCTACTGTTAACGAAATAGCTATTTAGGCATTGTTTTAACAAATTCACATTCAGGGTTGGCTCAGTTCTTATATATAAAGTTACTGGTATGAAATCCAATCCACTCTGGCATGAAATCCAATCCCATCCTATTTTGTTTTGATTAATTGAATATCCTGTTTGACTCTGAATTCACCACATGAATTAATTTGTTTATAAATGCCATTTCACATTAAGCTATCAAGTCGCATTGGATAAATCATGCTAAATGTAAATGTACCAGTTATTGTGCAAACACTGTATAACTCTGTGTGCTACTTACCTCACTTCTTTTTTTGTCCCTCACAGGATGATTGACAGTTGCCTGTGCTGAGTCACGTAGCAGAATGCCCGGTGTGCCCTGCGGGGCCTTGCAACACCACACTGTGCCCGTAGCCTGTGCCATCATCTGTTCCTGGCTGTTGATCCAGGTCCATTCTGCCATTTGCCAGAAACCTGCAAAGCTGCCTCTGGTGGGCCGCAAGCCTTTCCTGGCAGCCTGGAATGCTCCACTGGATATGTGTATGTTGAAGTACAATATCAACGTCAGCCTTGATCTTTTCCATATCAGTGGCAGTCCACGAGCCGTCCACACGGGCCAAAATGTCACCATCTTCTATGCCAACCGCCTGGGTTACTACCCTTTCTACAACGAGCAAGGGGTTCCCATCAATGGAGGCCTACCTCAGAACAGCAGCCTTGAAGCACATCTTCACAAAGCCCGAAAAGACATAGCACACTTCATCCCTTCGGAAGACTTCCGTGGCCTGGCTGTGATCGACTGGGAGTTCTGGCGGCCACAGTGGGATCGTAACTGGAACAAAAAGTACATTTACCGACAGCGTTCAAGCGAGCTGATTGCACAGGCTTACCTTAATGTGACCGAGAAACAGGTGCAAGAACTGGCACACTTGCGCTTCGAGAAGAGCGCCAAGGAATTCATGCAGGGCACACTGAAGCTCGGTACACAAACTCGTCCGCACGGACTCTGGGGTTTTTATCTCTACCCTGACTGTCACAATTACAATGTACATGCACATGACTACAACGGCACATGCCCCCAACAGGAGAGCAAACGCAACGACCAGCTGTTTTGGTTGTGGAACAGCAGCACTGCCCTCTTCCCAGCCCTCGCTATACGCAAAGGCCACATGGACAGCATTCACAACCTGCACTTCTCACAGAACAGGGTACTGGAGTCGCTGCGACTGGCCTCCCTTACCTCATTGCCCTATGAGCTGCCTACATATGTATACACACGCTTGGGGTACAGAGATGAGGCCATGGCGTTTCTGACCCAGGTAGGAGCAAATGCTCAATCAGAAATCTAAATATAAGATGCACTTTGGGGAATCATTCACAAGTCCTCAATACAATTTTATCATACAGTCAAGAAGAATCTCTGTTTGAATCTTCTGATTGTTATATGTTCAAAAACAAATGGTGATCATAACATTTATATAATTTTCTAACATTTCTGGACAAATTTGACCATTTCTAAAGGACCAATGTCCTGCAGAGTTTAGCTCCAAACAGCTCCATCACACTTTCCTGAAAGTTTCTAGTGCACCTGTAGACCTTGATTAGCTGGTTCAGGTGTGTGGTTGGAGCTAAACTCTGTGGGACAGTGGTCCTCCAGGAAAAGGTTTGGACACCCTTGCTCTAAACCAGTGGTCTCAAACTCAATTCCTGGAGGGCCACAGCTCTGCACAGCTTAGCTCCAACCCTAATCAAACACACCTGATCCAGCTAATCAAGGTCTTCAGGATTACTAGAAACTTCCAAGCAGGTGTGAGTTGGAGCTGGTTGGAGCTAAACTCTGCAGAGCTGTGGCCCTGAGTTTGAGACCTCTGCTCTAAACACAAAAACTGTGAGTCTGAAATCAAGAGCTCCCTCTTGTGGTCTAACAGAACAAACACTTGTACAGTAATAATTTCAGTTAAACTATTTATATTTTAGGAACTTTTCATTGCAATGATGTTATATACACGTATATACATTCATTTCTTTATTCATTTTCATTTCACAGAAAGACTTGATACATACAATAGGAGAAAGTGCTGCTTTGGGTGCTGCAGGATTTGTCATTTGGGGGGATCTTAACCTCACTTCTTCAAGGGTGAGATTTTTAACACCATTTGATATACCTGAAATATCTCAAAAAATCGGTTCACGGGTACCTTCTTCTACAATTGACATTTGACATTTGTCTCATTAGTCAAGACTGCTGTGCTTATTAGTTAAAAAAATGGTTCAAGGACAAAATTCCTTGACAAGGGATTTTCAAGAAAACCTTTCTTCTGGAGACCTACTGTCCTTTGGAGTTTAGCTCTAAATCTAATCAAACACACCTAAAACAGCTAATCAAGGTGTCCATGATGACTTGAAAATTGCAGGCAGGTTTGTTGGAATAATAGTACAATATACAGCTAATTTTTAAAGGTGATCCATTGTAATTTATTTATTTATTCACTTTTTAATGCCATGCCAGCATCAAGGATATGTTCATGGCGATCTCAGAATAAATTACACAAGGTATACAATTAACAAAAAGTTCTAAAAGACATTTCAGATATACACTAGACAAAAATTCTAAAATACATTCAGGTGATACATTTTTTTGATCCATTGTAAAGCAGTGGTTCTAAACCTTTTGACTTAAAAGTCGACAGATAAATTAGATCAGATAATTCAGACATTAAATCAGATAATTTAGACATGTATGCTGTTATTATGACAAAGCTGCGTGTTTCCAAACTTTTTGATTAAAATAAACTGGGATCATTGATATAATACATTAAACACAATTCATTTTGTGATTCTAGAAGTTACAAGAACCATACGTTTTTCAATAAAAACCCACTGGTTGAGAATCACTGTCTTAATGGGACCACCATATTTTGGGGTCTGTGTCATCAAAAAGTTTGAAAAACCCTGTTCTAGATATTTTCTGTAGCAGCGACACTTTAACACATGCAAAAGGTCACCAGATACAATGATTGCAATGCAATGTGACATTTACATTGATTTCTGGCTCAATACAGAATGCATTAATAAACTTGCCAGCAAACTTTGCACTAAGTTTCCTGTAGTTTAATGCCACAGTTTTAACTTACTGTAACTTCCTTTGTCCCCTCAGCTCAACTGTTCCAAAGTAAAGGCATTTCTGAACCATAGACTGGGTCAGTACATCACTAACGTTACCCAGGCAGCAGAAATCTGTAGCGACTTACTGTGTCAGTCCAATGGGCGATGTGTCCGTAGAGACCCACAGGCACCACACTACCTGCACCTGACCCGCGGCAGCTATCGGATCCTGTCCAATCGAAACGGCACCTTCACCGTGACTGGACAGCCATCTAAGAATGAGTGGCAGATGCTGGCCGACAAGTTCCGCTGTCACTGTTATCAGGGTTATGAAGGAGAGTGCTGTGATAGCATAGAGCCGGAGGAGACAGAGGAGGACAACATGATCAAAGAGGATGTGGAGGAGGGAAAGAAGAAACCAGAGGTCGACAAAGACATACAGGATAGTGCTGTGCCTTTACAAAACGCGTTCATCCTGACTGTTCTACTCCTCTTGTTGAACTTCAGTTCTATTTAGAGGTGAAGTGTGTATTTTCTGCACCACTAACATCATCAGGGGGCTGTTTCATAAAACAAGTTTACCAAACAAGCCATGCTTATTTCAGTTAGTCTGACTTATTTTGAACCAAATCAACTGACAATTAGGCCATGTCCACACGTACACGGGTATTTTTATAAACTGAGTTTTTCCTTCCGTTTTAAAAAAAATCTCCGTCCACATGAAAACGCAAACGCAAGCTATGAAGCACTGTCAAGAGCATGCCAAACCAACAGGTGGCGATATAATCTCAACCGTAAAGCCATGTTGGCCAATCAGAAGCCTGAAAAAGTTTCCAGTAGGCAGAGATAACAGCAAAGGCTCCGACGTCACAAGCCAAAAACTCCGGTTTCGATGTCTACACGATAACACTGCAACCGGAGTTTTTGAAAATCTTCACCCTGGCAGGCGTTTTCAAAATTGTTCGGTTTCAGTGAACTGGTGCTGCGTTTGCGTGTGGATGAATGGCCAAACCGCGTAGAAAAAGCTGCGTTTTTAAAAATAACTACGTTCATGTGGACAGGGACTTAGTCAGACTAACTGAAATAAACCTGGCTTATTTCGTAAACTTGTTATATGAAACAGGCCTCAGGTGGAACTGCAAAAACAACAATTAATGTTCCCAAACAGGTTTCCCAAACACTCCCCCCATTGGCTGAATAAACAGATAGCCCCGCCCAAACTCAAATCATTCATTAAGACACTGTTGGCATGTTCAGCTGGTCAGATTCACAAACAGAGAAATGTTTTTAAAATACTACAAAGACAAAGTTTACACTAGTGGTCAACCAAAATAAAGATTTTTAGACAGGCAACACCGGTAGCTTAGAGAGCAAGGTGGTCAATGGCTGATAAATATATATGAGAATTTGATTTAAAGATACCAAATAACTCAAGCTGCAATTAATTTGATCACAGTTGACACCTACATTTAGCAACCTACAGATAGCTAAATTACAGTTGTATTTTCTCCTATCTCAGATTAGAAAAATGACACACTTCACCTTTAATGAAAAGTGGCTAAAGAGCCACTTTGATGGCACATCATGACTCAGTCAGGTTTTAATATTTGTGATTTTGTAATACTGAAAAATGATAGATGTTACAATGGTGCTGTATGCTAATGTAGATGAGATGCAAGCCTTGTTTGCACAAACTTCAATCTGAATATTTTTTTTTAATAACTGTTCTAGATGAATGCTTGATGATTGTTAACTTGTCACTGTTTTCTGACAGGAAAGGTTAAATCTATGCAGTCTGTTTTTAAAAAGCACTGACACCAAGATGCTTCCCGTGATGTATATTAGCAAGCTTATCACTTACACCAATACTTGCTATCAGAGCACTTCTAAGTCAGGGAGCGCTGGGTATGCAAAACTTACCTAAATGAGGTAAGATCCACATATTATATTAACATGTCATGCTTTATAATCTAAACTGACCAAATGTTATATTTTTCAAAATTGCTACATACTAAATAGCTAACCTTAAAATAATTATATATCAATTAATCCTTATTTGAAGTAAATTGTGCTAGTGGGTCAAAATAATTCTTAGCCTAATGGTTAAAATCATAATAAAATAATAAAATGTGCCTCAATTTATAATATTCTCAAAAAAGGGAAAAAAGATAGTATACACAAAATCATGTTAAGATGTTACTGTTCTCATTTTATTAAGTTGTATAAAACACAATACAAATGCCAACATGATAAGTTTGTCATTATACCATTACATGAAACAATTAATCTTTATATCTTTCATCATATTTTAAGCTTTTATCAATATTGCACACTAGAATAAATCATTGTACTCATCATATTAATGATGAGAAAACTCAGTGGACACAACCAGAGTTGAAGCTAGTTGAATTTCATTAAAGTACAAAGTCTCATTTTATTGTTTTTGTCCCCCAAATTCCTGAAATGTGTGTTAAACCAAAGATTATGAAGATGTAGCCTATGTTTACACATGTAAGTCTGCATTTGCTAAACCACAGTATGCTGTGGTGCGTGAAAACTCATTATGATTGTACATTAAACTGTCTTTTTTTGCTCTTGTTTGAATGAGGCCAGAATGATTGATACTGAAAACAAAGAAAGGTATTATGCCTCAGCATCTTTCAGTACTTTGAATACTTTTAATTAGCAAAATCTGCAAATACTGTAATAGAGGTCTACAGATTGTCTTACATGTCCAGTTTCAGGTTGAAGGATAATCAGACCATGTTTTATCACTATTTTCTGACCCGTTTTGACTCAGTATGTAGTTTTCTAAAATGCTGCATTTTGTTGCATGTAGACCGTAGTTTGTATGAGACACTATTATCAGAGCCTTCGTTATTGGTCAGTGTCTTATTTTTTATTTTACCTCAGTGCTAAAGTTCTCCAAAATATATTTCCACAGAGTTATTTTTTATTCATCTCAAAATCAGTCATTTATGCAATGTGTAATTCATTACTTGATTTTTTTTTTTTTACATTAAGCAATACCATTTATCAAATACTCGATGAAGACAAATGTTGCTTGAGTCTTGATGCACTGCAAATAAAGGATTGTAACCTGGTATTGATTCTCATTGTCAAAATCTTGGAATGCATTACAGAAAACAACTACGCAAATCCTTTGTATCTACCCAGATTTCTTCAACAATTTGTTATACAATTTGATCTGATCTTCAACAAAGCCACCTGTATATCAATTTCCAAACAAAGTCTGCTTTCATTTTAATCCCTTTATCAAACATGACATTTATGTAAACATTCACAGTGCACGGAGTAAAAATGGATGTGATTTAATAAATTGTAGAGCCTCCCACCTTTGGGTCATCATCTGATCACATTATACCCAACTTCTGTTGAGCTTCAACTGGAAGATGGCATTACATTTTCCTGCAAAATGTCTTGATAACCTTGGGGATTCGTTCTACCATTGATGATAGCAAGCTGTCCAGGCCCTAAGGCAGCAAAGCAGCCCCAATGCCCCCTCGACCATATTTTACATTACAGTTGGGGCTGAGGTTTTGACACGAGTCAAAAATACAGGTACAGGTAAATACAAAAAGTTCAAATACTTAAAAAAAAAAAAATCTAAACCAAACACAATCTTCTACTGTCTGTACAATTACCTTAAGTCTCGAAGAGGTCTGACCTCAAACATCATTTGCTTTTACCAGTTTGAATAAAATAATGATCCACACATAAAAGTGAGATTTTGATATTTCTTACATTCCAAAAGTACAAAATGATTGTATGAAATGAAACAACAACAAACTTTTGGTATATCATTAAATATAAAGTTGATTTAGGCCTAGGTGACCTGATGTTTAGGAAATGGCTTTTAAAAGTAACCAGAGAGCATATTGATCATTTCTAACTACACTAATGCTTTTCCAGTTACACACAACAAGCACAGTCTTGCGTTTTTAAACATTGACCTCTGCTAATATTTAACAGGAACCTGAGCAAGCTACATTTGATTCTTGCTACAGGAGAAACCTGTACTGACTCGGTAAGATACTCATTAGTTCTAAATCTCAAACTAACTAAGAATATGCATTTTTATTATAACGACATCTCCTAGCTCCATATATTTCTGATGAATTATAAAAAAGCTCTACACAAACCACCATACAAGAATGTTTTAAAAATGCATACCATTTGTCACGTTCTAGCAAAGATAATGTGAATACTTCAGGGTTTATTTCTGCAATGTTGTAATTTATTGTGCCAAAACAATCTTATAAGATACTGCTGCACAAATGTTTTACTTATTTTAAAACATTATTATAATTTTTAATCTCAATCAGTGTACGCAGATGGGAGACCAAAGGAAACAACGGTTACCATTTTACACCTTTCTCTTCATTACATTCGGGCATCTTATCACATCACTGTCTCCTCCACCAACAGTAGTTCCTCTCTTCCATAGGCATTTTGTGCTGTTATGGAATGCTCCTATTTCTAAATGCCAACAACTGAAGGTCCCTCTAGATTTATCGCTGTTCCAGGCGGTCACCACACCTGCCAGGGAACGCAATCAATCCCTGACCCTGTTATACAAAAATCGAATTGGCCTTTACCCCTATGTAGACCTCCACTCCTTGAAAGAGTATAATGGCGCCATCCCGCAGAGGGGCAACCTGTCTGCTAGTTTGGATAAAGCTAAGGAAGAGTTTACCCAGTACATTCTGGACTCAACCACTGGTCTCGCTGTCATGGATTGGGAAGAGTGGCTTCCAATGTTTGACCGGAATTTGGATGACAAGGAGATCTACAAAGAACTCTCTGTCAACTATACCCTCCAGCAGAATACTTCCCTTGACCTGCAACAGGCATTCAGCGATGCCAGCCTACAATTCCAGCATGAAGCCAGACGTTTCATGGAAGAGACTCTGAAAATAGGAATCGATCTTCGACCTCTGCATCTGTGGGGCTACTACTTGTTCCCAGACTGCTATAACTATGACTTTGAGGAGTCAAACTATACAGGTACTTGCTCAGAGCACACAAAGCAGTTGAACAACGAGCTGCTCTGGCTGTGGGAGGTTAGCACTGCCCTTTACCCATCAGCATATCTGCCAGTTTCTGTGAGTGGAAGCAGGAGTGCTGCACTGTTTGTTCGTCACCAGGTGCAAGAGGCAACAAGAGTGGCAGCCCTGCCAAATCGGCGCCACACTGCACCAGTCTACGTCTACCTACGGCCTCTCTTAAGAGACCAAAAGGAGCTTTACATGAATGAGGTATAGTATGGAGACTACTGGCTGTTATTGACCATGGCAGATTGTCATGCCAATTAGAAATGTGTCAGAGGGCAGTCTGCTTTGCTGTGATGTCATGCCGACTCTCACAAATTCTCTCGCAACAGCGAGCTGGCCATGCAGTTGTGTTGACCAAAAGCACGATGGGAAATGACTCGCTGACGACACAGCTTAAGTACAACCAAAACATGGATAGCATAGTCTAGACCAGGAGTATGTAAACTTGCTCTTGGAGGGTCAACATCTTGAAGTTCAACTTCAAATTTTATAGTAAGTCTGAAGACCTTAGGCTCGTTTGAGATGAGCAAAATCTGCAAAGAACCGATCAAGAGTGATAACCGCAAAATGCATGCCAATTAGAAATGTGTCAGAGGGCAGTCTGCTTTGCTGTGATGTCATGCCGACTCTCACAAATTCTCTCGCAACAGCGAGCTGGCCATGCAGTTGTGCTGACCAAAAGCACGATGGGAAATGACTCGCTGACGACACAGCTTAATGCTCATTGGTTCAAACAACCATGATGTTGCATTCTCTTCTAAAATGTTTGCTTTTTATATCTGATATCATGTGATTGAGTTTAAATTATACGTGAATATTCCCAAACACTATGACAGTGCGATCTCTGCTTCAAGGCCTGAAATGGGTGTCAGACAAAGGATACATGCAGATTGCACAGTGTTGAGGGTACTCTAGGAAACCACAGGTCTAGGCCATATAGGTTTCTTGCAGTAATACGCTGTCTGTTTTTCTATAGATTGATTTGGTAAGCAGTATCGGTGAGAGTGCAGCCCTGGGAGCTTCCGGGGCTGTGCTATGGGGGTCTAGTGCTGATTACAAAGACAAGGTAATTTCTTTTTTCTTCTTAAAGCAATATTTTTTTTAATTTTTTTTTATTTTTTACATATTATTCATGTATCTAATATAAAACACAAAAGATAATGATCTGTAAAATATCATTGCTACTATTTTCCTGAGACTGGTGACGTTGAGCTCCATAATGCTCTCACATCTCAATCAATTATGCTTTGTGCCAGGTTTTACACCAATGACAACTGATATGGGTGTAACAGCACACAAAAATGGTGGTTCGGTACATACCTCTGTTTAGAAGTCACAGTTCTGTCTATGGCTGTGCTGGTGAGTGTGAAAACCGCACCGCCACTTGTTTCTCCAGCAAAATGGATATATACTGTAAATTAACAACTGGTCACAAAATCCATAATATGCAATGTTTTTGATATCAAACAACATGTTTATAGTACACAAAAACAGGTGAAATGTGAGAGCTCATGGAATCGTCAGCAAATAAAGATTTTAGTTTTGGACTACACATAAATATATAATATGGCTTCAGAAGACTTTGAATATAGTGCAAGTTGTATGGACCACTACTACTGTGCGATGTTGTATTTCTAAAGCTTAATAGACCCAACTTGAACCATAGTAGAAAGAAAATCATGTTTTTGGAATGACATAAGCATGACAAAATTACAGTAATTTTAATGCTTCTCTTTCCTTTCAGACCTCATGTGAAGCCTTGTCTGCATACCTATCTGATACTTTAAACCCCTACATTGCCAATGTCACCTCTGCGGCCCAGCTCTGTAGCAAAAGTCTCTGTCAAGGCAATGGACGCTGTGTCCGCAAAAACTACAACTCAGACGATTACCTTCACATTAGTTCAGAAAGCCACCAAATCATTAGGAAAGATGGGAAATATGTGGTCACGGGGACCCCCTCTCCAAGTGATCTCACTTACTGGAAAAACAAATTCACTTGTCAGTGCTATGAAGACAGGAAGTGCACAGCTACAATACCCGCTTTCTAACAGAAAATGTTGTAGAACAAGTAGACAAATTTATTGTATTTAGAGAGGGTAATTCATTTACATTACTTCACTAAAAAGGTGAGTTAATTTTTACACTAATGATATACTGTATACAGAGCACATGAAATTGTCTACAGTCTAATAAAATGTCACATAAAATTTATAATTATGTCAAACTGTCAAACACAACACATCCTTATTTGAATGAACTTCCGTTGTATTAAAAAATTAGGCATTTTGATATCGAAACAAACACATGCATGTTGGAGTCATTATGATGCAAAGGTAAAAAGATAAGAAAAAAAAAAGAGTAATATTTAGGAATCAGGGGCGTCTTAAATTGATCAAACTTTCTTTCCTTGGCACATTTTAGTCTGCCTGGGGTTTGACATGAAAAGCCTCTTCTGAATGTTATCCTGCTGACTACACATAAACATATATAATGTAATGCAAGTACAGTATGGAGACAGCCCTTCAGGGAGCGTTTTAACCAAGAGGTTGCAGATTTAAACCACTAGGAGTCGTTGTCTCTGCATTACATACACACTTGAGTGAACTACAGTAGACCTTCTACTGTAACAGTGCAAATACTGAATCTGCAAGCTATGATGCCCTATACTAGCTCATATCATTATGAACATTACAATGTACTCAACTATCCCACACAATGTTGCATTTTTCAAAACGTTTTGTTTGCGGACGTTTTGTTTGTCGTACATAGACGATCTCTCCTCAATATAGTAATCAAGGATGCGATATAATCTTTCCAATCAATATAACTTATATCAATACATATCATACAAACATTTATAATCGAATGGAGAGCCCCATTCCATCTAAAATCTACTTACCGTGTCGATACACTTAACACTTATCCTGAAAAACTCCAATCATTTTGATTTTTTTTAACCGACATTTTATCTAATTTTGAGTTTATTTTCAACTGTGGCGTTTACCACACGCAAGCTTGATGACGCACTTGAGTAAAAACGAAAGCTGATTGGCTTAAAAGTTCACCTTTGACAATGATTGGTCATTGATACGGAAAGAGGTTAATATTTAGTTTAACTTTTTTATTTCAATTTTTAGTTTTTTATTTAAGAATCTTTATATGATAATGTTTAAGTTATGAATGTTCACAATTTTCACAATATTCAAATAAACGATATTTATAACATATTATAAATAGCCTATGCATAACAGATATAAACTCTTAATATAATTATATAATTGACTGTAGATGGCAGTGTTGTTACGTCACAGCACTACAGCTAGTCCACTCATATTAATCTTAATAATAATAATAATATTTTTTATTGATTATGAATTTTTCTTTTGAATCCGAGCTAACCAAAAGATTACTAAATTGTATTTTACAGAACAAACAAGCCTCCAAAAACCAAACCACCACCAGTAACGTTTCTGATTCACTCCTCAAATTTCTGGGCTAGTAGAAATCCCCACCAAAAATGCTTCTTTAATGTGTGTGCCATACAGTAAAAAACCAGAGGTATGTTTTCAGCTGAAACTGCAACAGCTACATGATCAACAAAAGATCCTGCAGTGACCGCCTGTGACAGACTCTGAAGGGGGGCTGGTCCGTGCTTCCACAGGGTGACATGACGCAAATGTCCCTAGACAGACAAAAGACAGCTTTTACTATTGAGTACCCAAACAGAAACTGCAACAGTGACTCTATAAAATAAAGGAAAACATACAGCTAAAAGGAACGGGTGAGAAAAGGCAAGTCAGCTGTTGGGAATGTGTGGGCATACATTAACATGTAAATTATAACGTACAATATATATATATTTGTATGCATTAAATGTGTGTAATAACGTATTTACATAACGTATTTAAGTCAAACTCCCTATGATTCCTAATAAGTAGCCTATGTATGTGTGTGGGGTTTGAATGGATACAATTTTAATGCATTCTTACAGTTGCTTGTTTGAGGATTTAGCCAAAAGATATTGTCAGCTGTTGTAGATGAGTAAGATGTGACTTTTCTCTAATGCCTGCGAATATGTTGATGCCTCAGGTCAAAGTGTGGGCTGTCATTGCTCTAACAAGGATTTGTAGTGTTTATGGCTCCCCTTTAATGGCGACCTACTGACATACATTCTGAACCCTAACTTCCAGACCATCTGCCAGACAGACTAAACCTCCCCAAAACACGTGTGAATTCCCACATGACTATACAGAGCAACATTAAAGGAATATTTCACCCAAAAATGAAAACTGTCATCGTTTACTCACACTCATGTCTTTCGAAACCTGTAGGACTTTCTTCTCTGAAACACAAAAGGAGTAATTTTACAGAATGTACTTTTCTGAATGCATTTAGAATACATAAAAGTAGACCCCTATTCCATATTAGGCCTACTTAATCTTCTGTTGTCATATGGTATCTTCGTGTCAAGAATAGACCAAAATTCACATTCATGAGAAAACAATGTCCGATTCATTAATGAATCATTCTTTTGAATCAGATATTTTAAATCAATTGGTTGATCCGGTTCACAATGCGTGCATCTGAAGCATAGCATAGCATACAGAGAATGATTCGCTAGTTTACCGTTTTTTTTGGTTCTCGCGTTCAGCTTAGTGAACCTTCCTCTGGATGGGGAGATCTTCGATGAACAACTTCATTTTTGATCTGTTCCTCACAAAAATCTATTGTACGACGTAACACTAAAGTTTTATGGATGTACAGTAGATGGTAATTTTGTGTTCATTTTGAAGCTTGAAAACTCGGGTACTTTCACAGTACTGTATAAAGACGAGTACATAGAGAAACACAGTAGTTACAGTACACAGTGCTTTTGCACTCATCTTGACCAAATGCTTTGTAGACACACATCAAAAGTGACTTCTCCTCAAGGGTGTCCTTGACCTAGGTGGACCAAAACATGGCAGCAAATGAAGAGACATGAAATTTCAGTTCAGAAAAAGTCATTTATCTCTCTCCAGCTTAAGGATGGGGCCAGCTTTGTGAGCTAAGGAGGTATTTATTCATGGAATAAAGTGCTGGCCTGATATAATTTCTGTAACAAATTTTTCTCTGTATGCCCTTACGTACAAACGGATGATGACACATGGTCAGTGTTTTGCCCTTGAGTTATGTGATTCATAATGCCTCTGACTAATCCCACACAAGGTTACCGCTGACCTACTTTTGGGACGTTCCAGTCTGACGTTCTTGGTTCCATTTGAGAAGTCCACATTCTCAAATCTCCTTTTATATGTTATTGTTAGTCATTTTCTTCTCTTAAAGTTTCCAAACAGAAAAATCTAATGGATTCAAATGGTGATTTTTCAAATGGATTCATCTTTCTTTTACCAGACCACTGTATTCAAATGATATTGAAGATGAATATTATTTGTTTAGGATGACCCTGATATCATTACTCTTTTGATTTATAACACAGGTTAGCCGCATGCAGCGCCTGAGGACGATAGCCTGTCAGTGTTCCCATAGATCAACTCATTCAGCTCTTTGTGACCGTCTATAAAGGGCTCAGATCATGCGGTGACCCAGAGGCTTGCCAGCACCACTCAGTGACTACTGGACTTCTGACACCACCTATGTGTCATTCCACCACAAAAATCAAATACAACCTGGAAATACAAGGAAAGGTGCAAAGGTGATTTCTAGGACTGGTAATGTCATAGAAATGAATGACAAATCTTAAAAGGTACTCTTAAGTTCCCCAAAGTATGTTTTTGGTACAAGAACCTTCAACTGAACAATCTAAAGAACCATTTTCCACTATAAAAGCACCTTTTTAATAGAATGGAAAGGTTCCATGGATATTGACGGTTCTTCATTGATGCCCAAAAAAGAACCTTCATTTTTCAGAGTGCGTCAGGCAGTCTAGCTTTGTAAATTATGCATGAAATGAATATGCATGACATTTTCCCCTTCAAAATTTTCATGGAGGAAATTTGGCATGATGGCATGAACGGCGTGAGTGAATGAGAAGTTCATTTAGGACAACATCATGCCCAAACATCTTGCTCATCTCTGTACTCACACATAATTAAACTCCATCATGCATGAGGAGAGACTGGCTCGGGGCTCAGGAATGAAATCTCATTAGCACAAGCCTGCCACGATTGGCAATTACTCAATTCACTTGTCAGCTACGGCCCAGAAGTAATGCCTTGTCGTTCCTGTGCACAGATGGGTGATATCCAGCATCATCCCCTCTCCACTTTCTTCACTCCTTTCCCTTTCTTCTTCAGCTTAATGTGACTTTTTGTTGTCGGAGTAATAAGCAGCTGTCCTCTTCCTTTTACAACACCTATTTTGTAAATATATGATTTTGATAACATTTATTGTTAATAATAAATGATAAAAATGAACAAGTCAAAAAGTCAATTTTTTAAATGGTATTAATTCATTTTGTTTAAATGTCATTTATTTGATAAAATTTAACAATAAATGTCAATAAATATAGTTAAACTTAATAAATGACAGTAGATTTAAAACTAAAATATATCATTTATTAAAATAAAAAAATTAATCTGTTTTTTCTTTACATCGTACAAAAGGTGTCTGAATTGCTTTATTTCTGTAGGCCTATAATTTTAAGTAACATAAAATGCTCAAGGGAAATAATAAATTTTATGGCGCCCTTTCAAACCTTGCATTTTAGGAAAGAAATAGTGCTTTATCTCAGGTCTCCTGAACCCATCAAAGTGACAAGACCATTATTATTATTATGTGCAATATTGCCTTTGATGTCTTTCCAAAACAGTTCTCTCTGGAAACCCCTCAACGCAAACTGCCCTGTCTATCATGCAACCGGCAATACATGTGAAAGCATGTGGGATCTGCTATGGAAAAAAATTACCTTTGCAACGTGTGTGGCATTCGGAAGCTTTTCACCCCCTGAACTGAGCAGAGACACTTTCTGATTGTATCACTTTGATGGATTTTGACGACAAAATAGCTGACGTTTTTAAAGAAGAGAGGTTCGCATTATAAAAGTTGAAAAGGACCAATAAAGAAAAGCAAAATCTAGGATATTGGCAACTTTTAAATGGATTCACCTCGCATTGATTTTGGATGTCAATGCGTGTCGAAACAAACATATTTCATATGTGGTTTACTGGACTTATGGCCCCTTGAATGCTTAAAATGAATTATAACACCTCAGTGTCTCTTGCGGTCCTTTTGTTTGTGACCACTGAGTCGCAGGCTAGTAATGCTCATTTGGCTTTCTCCCACATGCCATAAAAAGTCCACACAGGGCAGTGATTGTTTCCTTTCGGCCCGAATGCCACAGTGACGCAAACGGTTTCCTTTGTCCAAATGAAAACTCTGCAAATTTCATTATTTTTTTGTTGTTGCTAAAAAGTCCATGTTAGTACGTGTTTTGATACGCTGACACAAAGCTCCTTGAGAAGCTCACAGAGACGCACATACTGTATGGGAAAGGAAAGAGGAAATGGAAAATGATTCAAAACGAAAAACGAATCATCGAAATGACTTGTTTTTGCAAATGTAAAAGAAAACAGCTGATAAGTCACAACTCACTTTACATGCGAGTGCTAAAGAACAGAGATGGTTGAAAAAGGATGTTTTCTCTATTTCAGAGAGAGAACGAGGGAGAGAAACAATGCTGAGATTGTTCATATACACCCAGTTAAGCATTATTATGCCCGTGGATGATGATGCACATTTAACTCTCCTCCACTCTCAGGTTCTGTTACAAATATCGGTCGAACTA